CATTATGTTGCTTGCAGAATTTCTGGACGTCAGGAACAAAACAGTCGTCAAACCAGGAGAGGGACAGACCAGTGAACATCCACGCCTTCCTGGAGGTTAGCCAGTGGACATTAATCTTGCTCATGTCCATGTTCTTGTAGGCGTGCGGCTTGCGGGCTGTGTGGATCACCGACAACTTGAGCTTACAGGTGCCGGAGGCATTGGTGGTGAACAGGACGGTGATGCACTCCTTCTGCAACTTCCGGCCCCTACACTTGCTGGCAGACTTGACTATGAAGGTCTTGGATAGTAATTTCTTCCAAAAGAGCCCGGATTCATCCATGTTGAATACCTAGTCGTCGGTGTACTGTCCTTCCTCCATAATTTCTCATAAGAATGGTGGAAAATTCATGGCGGCAGCACAGTCAGCACTAGCTCCTTCATCAACAATTTCAATGTTCGTTATTTTGTTGCATTTTTAAACCCTTGCAGCCACCCAGCGGAAGCAGTGAAGTGTTTGGGCTCTGCAATATCCATTTTCCGCGCCACTGCTATGTACAGTTCACGGGCGTAGTCCTGCACCGCGCGAGTGTCCACCGCCACGTTCCTTCTCGCCTGACGAATCAAGTAGCTCACCAATAAACCCTCAGTCTTGAGCAGTACTTTATTCTGACAATATTTCACCATTGACACACCTGCAGACTTTTTGATGCTCATGTGTTCCTTAATCTTGGCGGTATCCTTCTTGATCGTCCGGATCGTAGATTCCTTCACGCCATGCTGGCACGCCAAATCAACTTGTCTTGTTCCTTTCTCCAACGCCTGTACGATTTTGTATTTTACTTCATAGCTTAAAGCGCGTCGTATCTTCTTGGGCTTGGGGCGGCTTGGTCCAGGTAATTCAAGGTTTTTCTGGGGTGGTTGGGGTCCAGCAGACGCCATTGTTGAACAGATTAGCGGGCACAAGAGCGAACAGTATACGCGGAAACTGAGAACAATGAGACTGGCGCAGCTTAGGTCAGCGACTTATTCCCTCTGGTGGCAGGCCACGTCATGTTACATTAGACCAATTACAGTTAGCGGCGGAGGGAGGTAAGGATGCGTGACCCAATCACAGTCCAATACGTCATATGACGTCGGCGATAACGTAAGAGCGACATACTGCGCACCCTCCCCGCGCCGCTTCCCGCGTATGGTCAAGAATGTACCGCGTAACTAATAATTGGCGCGTCTCGTGCTGCTTGCCGCGTAAATGATTGAATTTACCGCGTAACTGACAACTGGCGCGTCTGGTCATGTGCCGCGTAAATGACCAAACGCGTAAAAGAAATCCGCGTAAATCCAGACTATACTGTATAACACAAATCAACCAACTAACCAAACTTAATTTACCTTAAAAGAATAAAGGTTATTAAATAAGGTAAGTGGAGGTTATTATTAGTTCTGTTTCTTGATTACATTAGCTAAACAAAAAATTATGCCTGTTATGATTTAATGGAATAAAATAAATGTCTACCAAGTAATATATTTACCAAATATTGGTCAGGTGATTTAACAAGAGAGTACAGTACAGTATGTATACAGCACAGGTTGTACCTCTCTAGTCCGGCATTCTGTGGTCCGGAAACTCCCGTGGTCCGGAACGATTTTAGTTTGTCCAATAGGTAGATAGGCAGGTTTTTTTTTTTTTTTTTTTTTTTTTTTTTTTTATCTGAATTTATTATTATTACAGGAGTATTAAATTTTTGCCCCTCAGGCCCTAATGTGGGTCAGTGACCTATTCCCGGGTGGGCTAATCCCCTTAAAAAAAAAAAGCCGCGGAAATTAAGGTTTGTTTACATCCGGCAGTTCGCTCTGTCTCTCTCTCTCTCTCTCTTGTCTATACAGAGTACAACATTTAACCCTTCAATATATATGAGCAGTAAATAAGTGTTGCTTTCATATTCTTATGTAGAGTAATGACGATATATTTTCACATGTGCGCACTTACATACGAGCAGTCTCACTTTTTTTTTACCATTAATGGTTAGCTACTTATATTGTTCCATTTATTAACATTAAATAACATTACAGGTACTTCAAGCAACCATATTCATTTTTTACATTAATTTTACTACAGCTAAACTCAGGGTCTTATTTTCTTCAGTTTTATATGTAGAACCAATCAGTCACTGGTTTCGTAAGCTTTAACATAAACAATGCCGGCAGCCGTCTCGTCTCCTCTAATATTCCACGTATTATTAATAAATTGTATTGTTAATTTTGCACACACGTACATTAATTCAATAAAAACAAATTCAGAAACATTAATTAAAATATATATGAACAGTAAATAAGTGTTGCTTTCATATTCTTATGTAAAGTAATGATGATATGTTTTCAATGCGCACTTACATACGCGATCTCTCTTTTTCTTACCATTATTAGTTACTTCTATTGTTCCATTTATTAACATTAAATAACATTACTTAAAACAACCATATTAATTTTACTACAGCTACAACCATGGTCTTATTTTCTTCAGTTTTATATGTAGAACCAGTCAGTCACTGGTTTTCTAATCAACGAATACAATGCTGTGTCATTTCCTCTTGTGTTTTAATATTCTACGTATTATTAATGAATTATATTGCTTATTTACATAAACATTACCGTATATACTCGTCTATAACCCCCCTTTGTATATAGGTCGACCCCGATTTTATGACCAAGAAATCGTTAATTTATGATATTCCTCGTTTATAGGTCGACCCAAGTTTTTGAGGGTAAAGGAACAACAAAACCTTCAGAGAAACACTACGTTCTATAAACTTGTTTACCATTTATTATCACGACACTTTACACTGAAACGCGGGTAGTTTCAACAAAAATATTGTATATTTCCATTCAAGTATTTATTCAAGTCAATTAGGAGGGAATATTATTGTAATACAACAGTTTTTTAACTAAACCATTCGAAAAGTGATTACGGTAACATCTTTTGAACGAAAGAAAGCCAAAGTCTTTGTTTTCATCACGATTTTATCCCACTTTCCACTGTAATACGTACGTCATTTCAGCAAAAAATATTACATTTCCGTGAATGTATTATATCAAGCACAGTATGAATAGAATATCATTGTAATATAACAGAATTTTAACCGAAAACTATTAAAAAAACGAATAACATCTCGAGAACATCGGAAGCTTAGGTAAAGTCTTTTGTTTTCGACATGTATTTTATCCTATTTTACATTGAAATACATCACGTTTCAGCAAAACTACTATTTATTTCTGTGAATATGGAAATGTAATATTTTTGCTGAAATGACGTACGTATTCAGTGGAAAGTGGGATAAAATCGTGACAAAAACAATGACTCGCTTTCTTTCGTTCAAAAGATGTTACCGTAATCGCTTTTCGAATGGTTTTCAGTTAAAAACTGTTATATTACAATAATATTCTAATCTAATTCACTTGTGATGTAAAAGTTTTTTAACTGAAAACGATTCGAAAAACACGTGTACCGTCTAGCTGATACGGCAGAGCCCTGGTCGCGGAGGCTTTGTGTTTGCATCGGCCCTTCTTAAGCAGCTTTTAATTTTAGCGTACGTTGAAATTGTGTTTACCGGTGTATTCTTATTTTCTTGCTTCTTATTTTCCAGAAATATGACAAGTTTTTATATAATACAATGTTACGGTACTTTTAATTTACAAGTATTCATTTTTAAAAATACAGAACACCAAACAAATACTAGTACGGATATTTGCGTGACTCTCCCGCCAAAAAAGACCAAACAGCTGGTACTCTCTCCCTCAGCCCTACCAAAAATAGCCCAACATCTTTCTTGTTTATTCTCTTCCAATTTCTCACTTTAACTGGTATTTTTTACTTCATATTGCCTACATCAGATAAACTACAGTAATTGAGGTTAGATATTGTTATAAATTTGATTACCGGGTCCTGGCAGGTACCGTTAGAACCACCTGACCCTACCAACAGTGTTGCAAGTCAGACAGCATTTTTTTTTTTTTACATTTTTGGTGTCTCCATTTGTTAATTTTTTTTCTGTGGGTTTTGCACAATAGTATACTGTTTTACCTACAGTATTGTAAAACGATTTGGGAAAAGAAATACTCGGTAACTTAAAATTTTAAAAGGAAAATTTTGAAACTGGCAACTGTGTGTAGATGACCTGACTCACATCATATTGATGTTTCAAATTTAATTAACAAAAATTTATGTATCTATAAATACACTTTTAAAAATGAATACTTTATGTTTTACATACTCCTGTGCATACCATACCATGCATTTGGCTACTTTGGGCTTGCTATGATGACGCAAGAGATCTGCCCTGGCAACTGTACCGACACTCACAGCGGGTGGTGCGTTGGTTCATCGTTTCCATTGTTTACTGGTAGTTACTGGTAAATATTTTTCAACCTAACGAAACTATTACCCGTATAGAGGTCGACCCCCAACTTTTTGCCCAAAAATTTGGTCTTAAGAACTCGTGCTATACACGGGTATATACGGTAATTCAATAAAAAAGACATTCAGTGATAAACAATAATGAATCTTTTGTACATAAGAGATTATACGTCGTTGCTCAGATAACTGTTTAGTTCGCCATTGTCAGCTCTTATTTATTTATTTTTTTAGTTCCAATAGAATACGTTAAAATTGCTGAATTTGAGAAGTTGTTTAACCTTTCATATGTCTTCATGACGCAGAGAAAGTGGTGCTAGTGCTTCCAGGCTTAAGCACAAGTCACTATCTATCCAGGAAAAGGGTGAATTTCCATGGTCCGGCACCGGTCAGGTCCCGAGGTTGCTGGACTAGAGAGGTACAACCTGTATTATCATCTTGCAAGTTGACAAATAAAAATTATACAATAGATAGTTGTTTTCATATTTTTAATAACATTTGAATTACTGTACCCTGTATCCTTAATTTTTGTCCCAAGTGCAAAATTGAGCTGTTTGAAAAGAGGAAAAATAGTTGAATTATGAAATAAAATTATTTTTAATATTTACAGGTTGCAACAATAGCAATAGAGAAGGTGGACATATTCAACAACACCAGCATCGTCCAAGATGAAGTGTTAGCTCACAGACTTGGCCTTGTTCCTCTCAAGGTTGATCCACGATACTTCGAGTTTCAAAACAAAGGTCAGCTTGCCACACTTAACAGAGGTTCATCTGTCATAATAAATGACATTTTCTTAATGTCCAGTACTGTACTTCTATTATGGTTTAAGTCTCTTACTGCCACACTTACAATGCTCCTCATGCTGTCAATACACTAAACCCAAAATGGCACCACTTAACTCTACTGTGTGCAAAAAATTATGATTGAACTTTAAAATTTAACTTTTATAAATGTTAATACTGTATACAGGTTGTTCCTCTCTAGTCCGGCAACCTCGGGACCTGACCGGTGCCGGACCATGGAAATTCACCCTTTTCCTGGATAGATAGTGACTTGTGCTTATGCTTGGAAGCACTAGCACCACTTTCTCTGCATCATGGTCTCTTTGAAGACATATTGAAGGGTTAAATGTATAGTAGCTTCTCAAATTTCGCGAGTTTTTAATTCTTAACGTATTTTATTGGAACAAAAAAAAATAAATAAATACAAATTTTGACGGCGGAAACTTGAATTTCGACGGGTTTGAACGGCCCGCCAACGTGCAGACGACGTGCATAATCGTGTAAACAGCGTCATTTCTCTTACGTACAAAAGATTCATTTTTGTTTATTACTGAATGTCTTTTTTATTGAATTAATGTTTATGTGTGCAAAATCAGCAATACAATTCATTAATAGTACGTAGAATATTAGAACACACGAGGAAATGACACAGCATTGTTTTCGTTGATTACAAAACCAGTGACTGACTGGTTTTACATATAAAACTGAAGAAAATATGACCTTGGCTGTAGCTGTAGTAAAGTCAATATGGTTGTTTTAAGTAACGTTATTTAATGTTAATAAATGGAACAATAGAAGTAGGTAACGATAATGGTAAAGAAAAAAAGAGAGATCGCGTATGTAAGTGCACACACGTGAAAACATATCATCATTACTTTACATAAGAATATGAAAGCAACACTTATTTACTGTTCATATATAGTTTAATTAATGTTTCTGAATTTGTTTTTATTGAATTAATGTACGTGTGTGCTAAATTAACAATACAATTTTTTAATAATACGTGGAATATTAGAGGAGACGAGACGGCTGCCGGCATTGTTTATGTTAAAGCTTACGAAACCAGTGCTGATTGGTACTACATATAAAACTGAAGAATATAAGACCCTGATTTTAGCTGTAGTAAAATTAATGTAAAAAAATTAATATGGTTGTTTGAAGTACCTGTAATGTTATTTAATGTTAATAAATGGAACAATATAAGTAGCTAACCATTAATGGTAAAATAAAAAGTGAGACTGCTCGTATGTAAGTGCGCACATGTGAAAACATATGTCATTACTCTACATAAGAATATGAAAGCAACACTTATCTACTGCTCATATATATTGAAGGGTTAAATGTTGTACTCTGTATAGACAAGCAGAGAGAGAGAGAGCAGCCGAACTGCCGGATGTAAACAAACCTTAATTTCCCGCGGCTTTTTTTTTTTTTTTTAGATTAGCCCACCGGGCATAGGTCACTGACCCACATTGGGGCCTGAGGGTAAAATTTTAGTACTCCTGTAATAATAATAATAATTCAGATAAGTAAAAAAAAAAAAAAAAAGCTGCCTATCTACCTATTGGACAAACTAAAATCGTTCCGGACCACGGGAGTTTCCGGACCACAGAATGCCGGACTAGAGAGGTACAACCTGTACACACTAAATCTAATGAAAACACATTAAAAGATACCTGTAGTACAATATAGTAAACATGTAGGGGATACCTTAAAAAATCATAGGATCAAATATTCCCTCCTGCCACATATTGATTGGGCATCAGCGGTAATCCAACCATGGGGAAAAACCTGAAAATTGGTACAAATGGTCCGGACCTTGTGGTAATAAAAAGTTTTGGGCTCTAAAAAGCAAAGGTTTTAAGGTCTAGTCAATCAGTGTATCAAAGTCAGATGCTAAAAACAACCCTTAACGACTCCCTGGAGGTCTAGAAGGCTGGTTTTGGTGTCAAAATGATAATTGTAATAAAGCAGAGCCACACTCTTAAGGCACATGCAGCCCACCAGGTCACCTAGGCATACACACAGAATCATAAGGTTAATCACATGACCGCTAGGTCTGTTTGCTCTTAGAAGGGGATTAGGCATAAATTGTTATGTGTGACCTATCATATGAATCATCACAACAAGACATATGTAATTATAGTGTTGCTTATGACCTAAAATGAACAATGACCTTGAGTGATGACCAAACTCGGGGTAAAAATTTTTTGTGTTTTTGTTGCCAAAAACACTATGTGGGGGACAAATAAAAACACAGTGTAGTTTCGGTTTATGCGGTCAATTAAACCCATTGAGGTCCGCATAAAACGAGAAACGTTTAAACGAAATAACAGAACATATGGGATTAATTGAAATAGAGACTGGCCCGACCGCCAGACTACCCTTTTTCCGACACAATACATAAGTTGTAGTAAAATTAACAGCTTAATTTTATGATGGTATGCACACACAATTAATATTTAAGATTAATATTTAAGAGAAATATCAATAATATTAGGTTTTTTAACACTTACGTTAGTAGAAGAGATGGCTGGGTACACGGGGATGGGGGGTTGGTTCCGAGGCAGAGGGCAGATTATTGGCCCTCACCTGTATCAATTGTATCAATATCCACCACAGAGGCTTGCAGGGCCTCTTTGTCAAACCCCTCAAAGTCCATATCCTCACTATCACTGACTTGGGCTGGCTGTGGTGGGTGGCGGGTGAAGAACTTAGTAATGTTTTGTTGACTGGGCGACCTTGTGCGCACCCTGCCCGCGCCGCTTCCCGCGTAAATAATGGAATGTACCGCTTAACTAATAATTGCCGGTCTGGCCAGGTGCCGCGTAAATGACCAATCGCGTAAACCAAATTCGCGTAAATCGAGAGTATACTGTATGTTTGTAGTGTTTTTATTGAACTTGAACATTCACAAATGATGCATGTTCCTGTCGAATCAACTCTTGATCCTGTACATGAAATAGTAATGCTGCCATAACCAACCAGGTTTGTGTCACAACTTAGTGACATCATACAGCAATCACTGAAAATTATTAGTTTATAACACATTTCATGACATATTTTATGGAAAACATTTGCCTCAAACACAAGAGGTAGCACTTGTCATTCTTGAGGAATTTGTCCTCATTTATTGCAGGAGCAAAAACAGACACGAGTGCACGGGAGTGCAGACTTCCTGCAGGTGCAGGAGCTACTTACATGGTCTTTTACAGCTACACTGCTGAGGTGGTGCAAGAGGTAGCTGGGATATTCACCTGGGGCTCCATGAGGAGGTGTCTCAGTCCTTCCATCCATAATCTTCTGGAGATGACATCTACAGTAGAGGAGTGTCACTTCTGGCCTAAATGAAGGCTTAATAAAAGGCTTTGTTGGACTGGAGGAGTAGAGCATCTGCTGTTGGTGGGAGGCACTCCACTCTTTGAGACTCGAGGCAGACCAGTGCTTCCCGTAGTAGATTGACTTGTTCCAGGTCGGAGGTTTTATTATACAAGTGGCATATGAACCTCTGAAGCATTCATCCATTGCACTGATGGAGGAGAGACCGTCATTATTCTTCACCAAAGTTCTGCCATGTGTTCCAAGCCATGACAGTTCTTATCAGGATCCCTAAGCTTGGGATCGTGTGATGTGGCTCAACACAGCTTTTGTGATATCTATATTCAGGAATACAGGAACTCACGAGGAGTTCCTGGTTCATGTATTGACCTGGCCTGAAACAGACTCATGGGTGTCCCATGGAAAGCTTCTTTCGATGTATTGGACGTTGGGTTATGATCGATATTATCTATGGCACCCATCATAAAGACACATTTCTGTATATTAATTTGTCAAACCAACCCTCCTTTTGTGAATTGTTGGGACAAAAATGAGGCAACCTGTGCCTCATGGTGGATGATTCTTTTACTGAATTGTGAGTGACAGTATATGCCAAGGAAGGAAGTCACTGGGAGAGTGTGAGGTTTACCCATATTAGATGTAGTAGCATGTTCTGAAACAGTGTTAAAAACCATCAGCTGTCCAGTTGTCATTGCTGGCTGGCTGGATTCTGCCTTTAAAGGTACTTCAGAAATCATTGGAAGGAAGTATTTTAGTGCTGGAAGAATGGCCTTCTTCTGGCATCCATGCTCAAACTCACCACTAGGGAAGAATGCCTGTAACTTTTACAAGGATCCAAGAATCATTTTCTGCAGTGTCCATATTTGTTGATATCATGGTGTTGGGGAACACAAAGATCACATTCTTTCCATTAGTCTCCTCTTTCAAGCCAGGAAAATGACCAGTGTCTCAGTCAGTAGTGCCCTCAGTTCTCTGAGCTTGAAAGACATATTTCCTTCACCAACTTCTTTGCTGATTTCACCATAGAGCTCCTCAAGAGCCTGAAACCAAGCCTCTCTACCTTGATCTTTACTACATAATCAGTTGTTAAAGGTTCTAAGATAATGAAAATGATAAAAAGCATCAGCTGCCATAAGATCGCTCCAGGTGACAGTCTGGCCATGATATCAAGGTACTGGAGGATCTGAATTTCCATCTTAATTCTTGGCATATTAATCTACACCACGAAGATGCCGGAAAACCAGCTTTTTAATGTGGAACAGATTGTATGAGTATGGAAACACAGAAGAAGGCAGAGCATTCCACAGTTTGGCACTTTTAGGAAAGAAGGATGTACTATAACGGGTTATTCTAGTGTGACCGATGTCCACAGAGAAACGGTGGGCACCGCAGGCAAGACGAATGTTACGAGCCCACGGCCTTGCCGGCAGTACACAGGATGCCAAATCCACCGAACATTGCCCGTTAAAGTACCTGTAAAAGAGAGAGAGTGAAGCAACATTGCGGCGAAAAGAAAGGGTAGAAAGATTATCAACTAAAGGAGGAGAGTTAATAAGACGAAATGCCTTTGATTCCACCCTATTTAACACTTGGACAGAAGAAGAGCCACCCCAGATATG